CCTCCCCCCCCCCCTTAAGACACTCTCGTTAAGCATTCTACTTGACACACACACACACCGTCACACACATACACAGAATTAATTTTGTAACCTCGCCGTATGTTATCTTGTATTGTAATTTCACCGTTTATTTAATATTGTAACTTCGCCCGTTTGTCAAATAATAAATGTCAGTTTAATTCTTCCACTTTATTTAATATTCTTACCATCGCGCATTCACTACCCTTTCCCAAATTATTCCGCTCGCGGTCCCATCCCAGGCAAAGGGTTTCAGTACCCTGACTTAAAATAGGACCACCCTGCGTACGCTCGCGTCAGAGTAAAGTGACCTTCTGGTCGCTGACCTGCACCGCCGGCACACAGGTACGTTTCGAACTCGTGTTTGCGAGTGCAGTCGTTGCATTCTCTTCCAGGACGTAACAGAACATTGAAGGACTCTGTGAGATCATCACTCGAGGATTCGAGGATCGGCATAACCGATTGCAATTTACAAGATCTTGTTAGTTTGGTTGATTTAGGAAGTTTGTTATTTTTTAGAGATTCGTAAATTGAAAATTAATTGAGTTTAAGGATTTAGTGATCGTGTTTGATTTAAAGGATTTAGTAATTTCATGGAGATTGCTGGCAGGGAGGTTGTCGTTGTCGTTCGGCACAGGACTGACATTTGCGCACAGAGGGAGTTCGGAAATTTGAGAAACTTCACGGAGGCGCATCTTGGATATTAGAAGTTCGACCGTAGTTTTCCTCCGTAGTATTAATTGCACGAATGTAGTCTTTAGCGTTTACATAGGCCAAGCAATCGCCAATAAATACGACATCAAAGGTATAAAGGAGAGAAAAGTGTCCAGTTTTAATTTCGGGATTGGACACATAAATAACAAATCCCGCGTTCGTCCTCGCAGGGACAACTATGCTTTCATGAGTCCTTAAAAGGAAAGCACTGATTTCGCCAAGATACCGCGTATGCTCCATAGTCTATTTAAGCGTTGTGTTCAGAGAAAAATAAGGAGCCAAGAATTCCTTGCGGTATAATGGAAGAAACGTCGGGAAAAGCAATATGAAAGATCACCGAAAGCGGATCACCCCGAACGCGAAGGAGATAAATTTTAGCGATTCTCAAGGTGTTGACAATGTTTTCCATGATTCCGGTTAGCTGAATTATCCGATATAAATTTATAGGAATATTAGAATTTAGAGGACTGATTTTGAAAATGTTAGGCTGGGCTCCGGTGTCCAGCATAAATGCAGTAGGCCCGATAAGAGAAGGCGAATGAAGCTCTATTGTCGGGACGTTCCCGGTTGTGGGTCTGAGGTAATAAATGTTCAAGGAATTTCCTCGGACGGAAGTGCTGGACGAGCTATCGGGTGAGCTCTGTTTGATAGCCAAGGCCACCAGCACGTTTCATATTCAAAGTATTTAATATGTATCAAGTATTTTTTATTATCTAACACACACACACACACATTTAAACATATTAACATAAATATAAAATAAAGCCAACTGCATCGTCTTCCAAATATCGGGCCAGTTATATATATAATATTAGTGGGACGTTAGTGTCAATGTTGGTGTCAATGCTGATGCCACTGTTTAGCCAGTATCGCAAGGCGTTACCCTCTTGTATAACCGAATCTGTATTCGCACAATACTGGTGGCCAGTATTGCTACAACGGCAATCGGTATTGTCCTAATTTTGGACCGCTTTAACATTTTTACGTGGAAGATGTAGAATTTTACTACACATTTTTTATTTATCTTATCAAGAAAAACTTGATATTTTAGGGAAAGAACAACTATAATTACCAGACAAGATACGATACATTCGTCGAATTGACTTTCGGACGAAGTATTTCCACTCATTGATACGATAGGTAACATAGCAATTAGATCGTTAAACGTGATTAACGATATTAGTATTAACGTACACTCAGTTTCTAAACAATTTGGACTTTTTTCAATGCAGAATCCAGCCAATGATCCAATAAGAGAACTCGTGTTCGAAAAATAAATTCTGTCATTGGATCATAAGCTAGGTTCATTGGATCATAATCTGCACCAAGAAGAAATGTATAAAACACTTAGAAACCGAGTGTACGTAGACAATAGAATGTCTAAAATTGAGACATAAGACATTTTAAAAACGTCTTTAATACATAATGTCTGGAAAGCATTTTTTAGAATGCCTATTCGACGTCTTATATCTTGGTTTTAGACATTCTGTTGTTTGGGTATCATTGAGAAATGACACGTTATGAAACAATTATAATAATTTTTTTACCTAGCAGTAAATAAAACAACATTTTAGAAACGTTTGACATTGAAGAGTCTGTGAATTGACTGTTAAAGAATGTACATCAAGAATGTACAATGATTTACCGAAAGTCGACAACTCACTGTTTGGAAGTATCAGCCGCGCTTCCTCTTATAACAACAGAAACTAATCAAAAATTCCGAGCGATTATTATATATTCGGATCTTTTCATAGACCGATAAGACAGACTCATATATATTTTTGATAACCACACCATAGATATATGAGAACCATAGATACAAGCATTATTGCGTATTTTTTTATTTAGCAACTAAATAAGAAATATTTTATACATAATCATATGTAAAAATATTTAAGAAATATTTTATACATAATCATATGTAAAAATGATCACATATAAATATATAAATGGTTATATGTATATACAATATTATATGTTATATGTACTATACAATATTATACAATGTATGCGTGGCTAAAAGTAATTATATATAAAGTTATATATGAAATATATTTATATATAATTAGATATGATTATACACACAAATATACCGAAAAAAATTAGTCTTAAATTAAGGATAAATATTTTCATATACATTTCTCTATATTTGCTTAAAATGATCGATTCCACTTATCATTCTACGTACAAAAAATGTTAAGGTAATGTTATCGAAAAGTGAATACTTTATGAGATATTTCATACTTTTTGTACTGAAAAATATCAAAATAAAAAATTAAATAAAAATCAAAATCAAAAATTAAATAAAATTAAGTAAAAATAAATAAAAATAAATAAATAAAGAGCATTCACTTCTCGACGTTCTTATTTTAGTACTTTCACAAAATGAATAAACAAAAAATCGATTTGTGTAAAAAAAAAGTTATATTTCCGATAAAAAATTTAAATTGGTCTTAAAATAACTCTAAATTGTTGATTATACGTGAAGTTATGGTCACAAACTTATGTTCCCCTCCAAACCCTACAACTTTTGAACATATTTCCACAATGTCTGAACATATTTTTTCGACCTTACCTTATGTTACGTTCGCGTAACGTTTTGCACGCCAAACAATCTTTCTTGCACTAAATTATAATTCGCCATCGAATATCTAGTCTACTCGCTCATACAGCCATTTGTGTGTTAAACAATATCTTCTGGGTAGGGATACCCCGAGGTATCAGATCATCGCTTCGGATGAAGCAATCGGCAGCGATAACGCTGAAAGAATAACAGTTCTAATGAATCGCAAGAAAAACCCATATGACTCATTTTTAATGGCGTAAGATGCACCTTACTTCTGATTGGGTAATGAGGAACCTGCGCGGGGGTGTCTCATCACTTACCTATAAAAGGTGACGCGGGAAGCCGAGCAGAAGCTCGCCCTCGCGACTTTCTCTATGCTTCTACTTCGAGTACGACTTAACTCAGAACAAATCCTCAAACGTAAATAAATTCTTGCAACTCTTTTATCTATCAACCTCCTTCAATCTTACACACACACACGCACATACGCGTTCATCCATCCACAACAGCATTCACACAGCCTCGTCCATCCCAGAGTAAATTGGTTAAATCCATTGACCCAAAAAGGACATTTACACTCCACACAAAGCCTCACGTTCGCGGCGCGATTCCGTGTCTTTCAATAATCCAACATCCGCGTCCGGGACGTAACACTTATGAAAATAAAAGGAGTGATTGATTAAAATAGGATACCCTGTATAAACAAAAATATTATAATCTTGTTAGATTTTTACTTTTAATTTAATTGAATTTGTATTGATGCAAATATTTATCGTGTTTATTAAATAACATTCTCTTATTTTAAATTAATGACTTCTTCTGAAAACTAAATTTATTTACTAAAATTGACTAAATTAGTAACTAAAATATTCTAGCATTGAAAATACATCATTCTTTCTAGAAGTAAGCTATTATTTTATTTGGAGGAAAAGACTAAACTAATACTTAATTCAAATAAAAGAAGAGTTTGTCTCAAGATAAAGAAATATTTTTATTAGAATATATAGTTTTCTTTCATCAATTCTACATAATAAATAGACCGAATTTTTGTATTAACCTTTTAAGGCTTAGTGTGCATAATAATGTACAAATTTGAGCCTTCCCTAAATTTCATCTGTTGATAAAGTAATAGTTCTGTTGATATAATATTATCAATCCATCCGAAGTAAAGTTATGTTATCCATCCTAATCCTTAAATTATAATATAGCTATATATTCCAGCTAAATACTATTATATATAATGTCATATGTAGAGCAAAATCATTCACACTCAGATTTATATAAAGTTATTTTGATAGGACGTATATTTCATTTATGAAAATTTTGTTTGATGTTCTTCAACTATATTATAAACAAGCAAAAAATAAATATTTTTGTAATAAAACAATTGTAATAGTCTCTAATTTTTATATTTTAAACGCTCAATGTACATAAATTATATATATTCAGAAAACTGTATTTTTCGAAGACCAATTTTATTCGGACAAAAAACCTTCATCAGGAATATCCTTTAAAGGATATGATATACGATCTTATAAATACAGCATTTTACTCGTGGAATCGATGTGTAGACTTTAAAAAGTTAATTAATATATTCTTGTGTTACAAGGATATATCAAACCTACTAGGATTCATATTATATTTTGAGTAAATTTCTTACTTGTGACAAACTTCTGATATACATAGTTGCAAATATATAAACTTGCGAAATATACATAATACATACTATATACAAGTATTATTATACTTGTATATAGTATGTATTATGTAGTATGTAGTATGTATTATGTAGTATGTAGTATGTATTCGTAGCTAAACGTAGCCAAAAAGAGCAAAGAAGGAACTTAATCCGCCTCTAAATTTTGGGAAGAAAAACAATTAAATTATGAAAATCATAAAAATAAAGAAATGTAATTGATACATTACAATCTTTATTCTATAAAAAAGCCACAGTATATGTTCTGTAATTAAAAACTATTGATAACGTATGAGTAATTCTTTATGAAAATAAATGTAATAAAAATTGCTTAATTTCATTATTAGTAGTTTCTTGCTCCAACCATGTACAACGAGCACCATTGAAAAATCTTTTAGAAGATTGCGAAGTGTTAAAACTTAGTTATGGTCAGCAATGTTTGAACACGATCAGAAAATCGCCTCAATACACTATGTATGCTAATATGTGTTACTATATATGCTAAGTGTACACAAAAAATGGTGCTCGCGAAAATGAAAGAAGCTGGAAGAATAAATATTAAAAAAGTTTATTGAAAACTAACCTTAATTTAAGTATGATAATAAGTTTATGTCAAAATAAATGTTTATCTCCTTCTCCCTTTGACTGAAATCGTACATAGAAAAAAATATTACTCGTACTGCAAAGAAAAGCAATTACTCAATTTTTATTTTTCCTCGTTTAGATAATGGTTATCTTGAATAAAGAATATTCTCTTAATATAGTATTGAAATATATATATATATACATAGTCCACTGAGGCGATTTTCTAACCTGTTCAGACATTGTTGACCATAATCAGGTTTTAACACTTCACAATATTCTAAAAGATTTTTCAATGGTTATGGATGTCTTCTTCATCAGCCTTGTTTCATCCACTGCTGGACATAGTCTCTTCCAATTTTACTTGGAAGGAATTTTGGCATTAAAACGCCGCGCTTGCCATTGCGTGTTGGCGAGTATTTTTTTCTAAAACGTGAGATGTCACACAGTGGTTACCGACTGCGCGTGGACCAACGGCTTAACGTCTCTTCCGAAAGATGGAGCCCAGTTTTTCAATATATAAGTGCCCACTTTTACTCAATATATGGAAAGCACAGTTTGGAATAAAAATTCCGATGATCAGATGGACTTGAAAACGCGGGTTCTCATATACACGGATTATACACAACTATATGAGACCTACAGTTTTAACGTCGATTCCGAATGGCAATTTACGTAAGGTTTTTGGTAAAGATACTCTCGATGGATTGCCAATCCATCGGAAAGGAGACACGAGCGTATAAAAATATTTTGGTTCTACCGAGAGGCGAACCCAGAATATTCTAATATAATAGACCAGTGCGCTGTCTATAACACCACGCTCACGATCTAGTATTGAAATATACTCGTCACAAATATTAAAAAATTTCATTATTATTCACACAAAAGCGGAGTTTTTTTTTCAAGAATATTATAATTTTTTTGGAAAAAGTTAAATTTTCAGTTAATCTGAATAATTCCAAATTTTTATGTTTTAATGTTTTAATGTTTTAATTTAATATTATTGATTGAGGCACTAAACTTACTAAGAGTGAATATATATTTTGAATAAATTTAACGTGTTTGTAATGAAATTGTAATAAAGTTCAGCATAAACATTAAATTTATTCAAAATATATTCTCAATCTTAGTTTTTAATCTTTGTTATTTCTCTATCCAAATTTAATACACGTACATTTAATACATGTCGAACACGTACAACATACTTTAATCGAAAATATTACATTAAAGCATTGAAATTAAAACTTCGACTTACTTATTCGAGAATTAACCGAATTTAGAAATTAAATGTTAGAAACCGAATTTAACTTTTCTTCGTTAAAGTTTCCTATACAACACGGAAATTCAACGGTCGTCCTAAAGATGTCTAGAGAACGTCCTACGTCATAAGGATATTTACAGGACGTTCATCAAATAAAATACGCTATATAGATTATAATATTCTTGAATAGAGGATAAATTATTCTTTTGAGTAAGTGATAATGAGCTTTTTCTAATATTTGTAAGGAATATATTTTAATACTATTCTCTAAAAGAAGAAAATATTTTTCATTAAAGATAATCATTAAAGAAAGAATATAAATTATGTAAATGCTTTTTCTCACAGTACAAGTAATATTTTTCTGCGTGTGACTACGCCTATGCCTATATCTATGGTTCTATGGTTCTATTAAAAATTTGTGTAATAAGTCTATCGTATCTGTCTAAGATAAAATTCGAACACCCCAACAATCGCTCGGAATTCTTGATTAGCCTCTGTTATTAAAGAATAAAGCACGACTGTTACTTTCAAGCAGTGAGTTGTCGACTTTCGATAAATCATCTTAGTGTACATTCTTTAACCCTTTGAGTGTTATGGACGCATATATGCGTTTAGCTCCGCCTGGCGCGCGATTCGACTGTCGCCGGCACGTGGTTTGCGTCGTGCGTAAAATTAATTAAAATAATTAATGTTCGAAAATAACTTTCTTGTATTATTTAAATAGTTGCGCCTTGCGTATTCAATTGACAGAGTTCACATTAACGAAAAAAGTATTCCATCCCCAGCGATCGAAACCGCTAGGCACGCGCCGTTCACGCGGATTGCTTGCGTCGGGAGTATTCAGCACTCAAAAAGTTAATAGTAAATTCAAAGACTATTCAACGTCAAACTGTTCAAAGTGTTATTTTAGTTGCTACTTGGTAAAGAAATTATTATAATTGTTTTATGACGTGACATTTTGCATATGTACACTTGGTTTCTAAACATTTTGTATATTTTTTCTCGATGCAGTTTAGAATCTATAGTCCAATAATAAAACATTTTTTTCTGAAACAAATTTTCTTGTTGGCTGAGTTCTGCATAGAAAAAAGGTCCGAATCATTTAGAAATTAAGTGTACATTAATGTTAATATCGTTAATTACGCTTAATAATCCTTACAGTTGTCATATCAACTATCGTATCAACAAGTGAAAGTATTTCGTCCAAAAGTCAATTCGACGAGTATATCGTATTTTGTCCGGTAATTATATATTCTTTCAGTTAAATATTAAGTTCCTTTTGTTAAGATAAGTGAAACATGTGTAAAGAAATTCTATCACATTTTGTGTGCGTGTTTCTTCAAGGAAATCTTAATAATTAAAAGATTATTGATATTTCTCTGTTTCTTTTCCTAAGAACTGTACTTTTATACTTATCTATTGATTCATTTTGTCAAAATATTTAAAAAATTTGATCTTAAAAAAAACATAGGACGTTGGAATATTATGCTGTTTGCGATACGGATGGTGTTGATTATAATAAAGAGAATTAGATTATGCATAAAAATGTAGAAAAACTAAGATATAAAGTTTAATAGTTTTATACAGTTAAGATAAAAATATTGAGACATGTAGACTAGCACTTCAACAATAATAATGCTAATAATAATACTAACTTAATCATAATGTCACAATAGCATATTATAACCAATTCACATATTAATGAATAATATTCAATATTTTTAGATGTAATATTAGATTATCATGGATATTGCCCAACGGGCAAAACTAGATGACTTTATATGTAATAGACAACCTTAAGTTTGAAATATTATATATATATTAATTCGAGCAGGATTAAAACTGATTTTCTCATAAAGGTATTATAAGATACATATAAATGTATTCATAAATATAATACCATAATATGTAAAAATGTGTTGAAGATATAGTTATTTAATCACTTGCTTTCTTAATTATTTATTCTCAGATAAGGCTATCTTTATCATAATCTTTAATTTGTAAAATATGTAAATTGTAACTTCTGTAAAAATAAAAATAACGAAGCGATTCGAAGGACATTTTAAAATATAATGGCCACATTCAGCAGAACGTGTATTTTATAATTGTTGACAATATTCTGTGCTAAGATTGAATTATTTCAGTAAATCTAAAAAAATAATTCAATATCTCAGCTCAAGAAACTTCTAACATTTACAAAATAAGCGTTCTGCTGAACGTGGCCGAAATTTCTAATTTTTATATATGATATCTAATCTAAAATTTTTATCTATTTTTTGCAATGTTACAAAAATATTAATTTCTTCAGCCTAAATATACGTCTTATGTTTCGCGCGACCAAGTCCAGAGAGCAAGGCGAAAACGGTATGATGTTCACTGTCTCTACCAAGACCCTGATAACGCCTCATTGTTCTACGCACATTATACACCTTAAATTCAAGTGACCGCGTTCCGAACGTTATGTCTGGCTGTAATCATCCGCGATTTAATTCATCCGCGTCCACCACGTTCAATTATTTTTAAAGAGTACAATAAATAAGTTACATATTAGTACAATAAACAAATTTTTCACTCACCAGAATATAGGAGCGATACAGTTCGTCGAGAGTCCGCGAGAGATGTTCTAGCTGCCCGAAAAGGAACCTTTCACTATCGAAAAAGGTGCATCACCGTCGGTATCACTGATCACAAGATATACATTATTGTACACGTGACGAACGGCACTCCCGTATGTTAGTATTGGTGTTGATCGATAAAAAACGAAAATTTGATACGATTGCGAAAGAAGAAACGATGAAAATAACCAACATTATGTTTCGGAAAAAGTGACAACACTAATGACAAATAATCAAAAGTCTTATTATTAATAGAAAACTGAAAGATTCTTGAGACAAATGATTGACTCTAATGATAAACGCGAAGACGGCACGTCTGGTCAAAACGAACCACGGCGTAAGACTGCTGAAGTATGCGTCTTTGCAAGCAAGCCGAGAGCCTGTCCTTTGTGTCGACACGGTGGGAGCGTTACCGGACACCGGATGTTAGGATAATAAAAGACTAAGCTCGCAGATTCAGTCGAAGCAATGGTGCTTCGGTGTAAAGAAAAATAATATTTAACTAACGACACAAGCACAACAAAGTTTGTTTAACAATATGAGCGTACAATTAACATCACGTGCGTTTAATTACTCCGGAAGTAGTCATCTTATTTTTTTCATGTAAACAATCACGATCAATCATCTGGAGTAATTTTAAACCACAATTAAAAATTGCTATTATTAACAAAATGTAGTATATTATCGATTGCTCTATAATTTATTATTATTTGGGAACATTGTAGATATAGATTTATTCGTTACCTCTCTTTTGAATAAAATGAGGAAAAATCAAAAAAATATTTAAGAAACGATATAAGCACATCAATGTCTTATTACAATAATATTCTAATAAATGCAGATATCTATTTAAAGACGCTGTTTCATTTATTCCTATTTTCAACGAGATAAGATATTAAAAGAAGATTGTTAAAAACAATTGAAAATATATTAAATAACATTCATTTTATAAGAATGTAAAGTAAGGCTAAATCGCGGTCATACAAAGTTGATTGTATTGATTCACAATTGTAAACAATGATTTATTTTTATATTTCTTTATTATATTATATAAAATTTATATACTGGAATATTCCAGAGCCGTTGAGCTTTACGCTCGCGATGCATGATCACAAAGAGATAGGCGTTCGATGTTACGGTGGCCAAACGAGTATCGCTAGACGAGCTCCGTAGACCTGCGTTTGTTCTTTTATTCGTGCATATTTCTTTTACCCGAGACCTGTTAAAAGGACTTATTTTAGGGTTCTTAGGTATTTGAAATTTCTGACCCTTTTTTTATGGTCTACCATCAACCGTCGATCCGCACTGCTTAGAACTCGAAAATAAAATCTAAAATATTTCACGCGGTGTGGAAAATTCCTAAGTATAAATGATATACATTCTACATCGGATGGTCAGCACGAGTAAAAAGGTTTTTGCTTTTGATTTTTTCAATGGTTCTCCTGACCTGGCATGACTGGAAGGTTCTCGCTTTAAGAGGCTGCTTCGTTCTGGTTGCCGTTTCAATGTCACGCAAGTTGATATCTTTTCAAAAAGCGTTGTT